GCTCCATACCTGTATAGACAACATACCTGTATAGACAACAGCTCCATACCTGTATAGACAACATACCTGTCAGTCTTGCAGAAGTGTTTTCTGGAGCTCTCATCTATACTTTAAAAACTATTTAATAAGTGTCTATCAGAGTTTTGTTTTCCAGCATGGTATCTGTTATCTTTATTTTCAAAAATTCTGGAAAGTGATTGGTCTAACTACCGTCCCACAAGTCTTCCTATCATAAGCAAGGATTTTGAGTCTTTAGTTAACAAACACTTAATCTCTCATCTTGAATCTAATAACTTAGTTTCTGATCATCAATATAGATTTTGATCTTTTTGTTCTACAGCTGATTTGCTAACAGTAATATATTACTGCTATGATTAATAACCAATAGGTTTTATTGTATATTAAATAGATGTGGAGAGGTTAAGACTATTGCTCTTGACATTTCTAAAGCTTTTGATAAAGTTTTGCATGCTATTCTTTTCCAAAAGCTTTCTTCTTACTTGTTGTATCTTTAAGATTATTGAATCATTCCTTAACAGTGTATTAAAGTTGTCCTGGATGGGCAGCACTTAAAAAAAATGTGTTTGTTTCTTTTAAAATAAGACTGAAATTGGTTCAAAATTATATACTCTTTTTTAACAAGATACAAGATAGTGTGCTTAAATTGTAAAATCTATAAACCAAACGCTACCATTATAACAAACAAGAAAGTAAAAAATGTGGTTTAACTATAAAGCTTTGCAGTTTCAAATCCAGACCAATCAGTATAAAAACAGCGTCGCATGACGTTTACGGTTCTTATTACTGATTGATCTGGTTTTTACAACAATCTTAAATTTGACACTCCCAACCCTGGGATACTAGGTATCCAAGAACAATAGATAAACAGTATTAAACTTTCTTTTTAGTATTAAACTTTCTTTTTAGTTCTCCCGTAACAGCAGCTATTCTTCTTGATTCTTTGGGTTCATTCCATATAACCCTTTCTGAGTTTTAATAAAACGTCCTAATAAAGCGTTCTGAAGAACGCTTTATTAAGACGTTTTATTAAGGATACATGCCCATATATGCAAGTCTCTAAAATGGCACCACGAACTTGTTTATCATTAGAAAAAACCAATTCTTCCACAACAACTTGATTCCATAAATTTCGCTTTAACGGGTCATCGTTTATTAAAACAACATCTCCAACTTGTGGATACTCACCACCTTTTATCCTTGGGGTTTTTCTATCATAAAGGTGTCTTTCTCTTAATTGTGCAATATATTCACAGCTAAAACGTTTCTAGTAATGATCAATAATAGTTTTCAAGTACTTCAATCTGCTGTTGTGATCATCAGCATTATCAATTTGAGAATCATCCGTCTAAGTTATTACATTAATTGATTGCAGTCTTCTGTCGATAATAAGATGAGACAAGGTCAATGGTTCATATACTTCATCATAAATATAAGTTAGTGGTTGACTATTAATTGACATTTCAATCTCATGTAATACTGTTTCCAACTCCTCTTACGACAATCGACTTTTACCTACACATTTCTTCAATGCATCTTGGCAACTCGAATAAATCTTTTATAGAATCTCTCCCCACCAAGTTGATTTAGGCAAAATGATTTTCCATGATATACATTCCTTTGCAAAAAACTGTTTTAACTGTTCACTGAGAAAAGTTTTAAAGTTATTACTAATTACTATCTCTATACTTCCTCTTCGAGCTATAAAATGTTTTAAACATCTTATAAGTGAATCAGTTTTCATGGTAGGTGTTAACTCCACATGGATATTTTTTGACGTTGCTTATGTAAATAAACACACATAAGTGTTATACATAGAATTTTCTTGCCATAAATATTATTCACAAACAGGGGCCCAGCATAATCTAATCCAATATTTGTAAATGCAAGTTTATGTGTTGCCACTCGAAAACTAAGTAAATTTGGTGGTTCAGGACCTTGTAAAGTCTTTGCAAGCACTCTTTTGCATTTGACACAATCTTTAATGTACTTGTTCACTACCTGTCGTTTCTTGCAAATCCAAAATCTGCTTCTTATTTCGTTCTATGTTCCTGCAAGACATAAATGCTTTACTTTTTCATGTGCAGATAGTACGCGCAGTTAGCTTTGTAAAATGATTATAGTTTCTCAATAATATAGATAACGTTCTGCATATTCTAACAAACTATTTTCAAAAGGCCCTTTTAACCATAGAATGTTATGTCCATAAATAAATAAATACAGCTGTTGCTTGATGTTTTTATAACCTTGGCAAGAATCTTTCTCCTTCTTAAACAGACTTTGTTCAGACTTGATCCATAATGTTTCAGCTAAATTAATTTCTTCTGTTGTCATCTCTCCTTGGTATTTAATAACTTTCTTTTTAATATTATTCATGAATCGTAAAACATGCTGAAACTCTCAATAGCTGAGTTAAACTGCTCTAATAATAAATTGAACACCCTTTTTTGATTCATCAATATAATTGACACAAGTGGTAACAGAATTTTGTAATTCACTAGTAACACTTTCCGTTATATTATTATCACAATATATCCTTTGTTTTGGTGTGTTATTAGTTTTTAAAAACAAAGGACCTTCCCACCACAAGCAATTGCTCTGAAATGTTAACTTAACGTTACGTCTCTAGTCGGTATATCTGCTGGGTTGTTTTCTCCCGCAACATGGAACCAATCATTTTTTGTTACTTAATTCTTGAATTTTAGACACACAATGCTGGACCCATAACTTCCAGTCTCTTTTAGAATTTTTTGTCCAAGATAAAATATTTAATCTGCCAATAATAAATTTTCTCCACAGTTCAAACATTTTTAAATTCTTAAACAACCTTGTTCATCCAATTAGCTAATAACAAACAGCCAAGTTGAAGTTGAAGAAGATATGCACAGAAAGTTTATTTATTAAAATATTTAGTTCTAAACGTGGAATTGTTAACTTTTTTTATTTTAACAACTTTGGTCTTTGAGGTTATCAACTTAGACATCCAGCCCTCTTTAGTTTTTTACTTGAGCATATATAACTGCTGAATAAGCAACTTGAGAGCTATCACTAAAACCATGCAAAGGGATGCCAAAGGGATTCCTTTTAAGTAAACATATTTTTGTTTTTATTGAAGTTAGGATTTTTTAATGATGAACATGTGAAGGAATACATAATGCCTCCATGTAAATATTATTATTTGGATCTCTACCCTTCAAACAAACACCAGCAACATCTAGTGTTTTAATTAAGCCTTTATCTGATCCAAATATTTTAATAAATGAACTTTCTGTGCATATCTTCTTCAACTTCAATTAGTTATGTAATGCATCTGTAATGTAAGTTCGATGACTGCATCCATCAAATAATACTCTAACGCAACTGGATAAACTATTGTCAGGGTTTGTAGCTGTAGCTTTGGCAGACTGTAGAATAGGATGGTTGTTAGTAGCTATATGCTGGTTTTGATGAGTAATTTAATAACTCTGGACCTCTGATAACGGTTTATTTAAAACCTTATTTCTTTCAGCATCATCTTTTTGCACTTTATGTACTCATAATGTAATAAACAACAATTTGCTTCAAGTCCTCGTTTTAAACAAACAAAGCATCTGTGTTCCTTTTAAACTTTTACCGTTTTTTATATCATTTCTGCATCTAAATGATAAATGTTGTCCTTTATAAAACACACAAGTGTCTCTAGTTTCTTGATTACTTCTTGGAATACTGTCATAGTTAAAATGTTTTTGATTATTGTTCAAATGGTGCTGATTATTTCTTTTACTATTATTATGCATATTCTGTAATGTATTTTGTATATTTTCCTCTACTTCGATACTTGTATTGGTAAAAGTTTCACAACGCTTTGCCTTAATCACATTCATATATTCATTAAAATTCCAATCATCATTTTTGAAGTGTCGTGAACTAATAATGAATAATTCATGTGGAGTTCTTTCTAAGATAATGGGAATAAAAAATGATCCATAAGTACATGTTTCAACATTTAGGTCCTTTAAATTTCTTATATTTGCTTCAAGCTTGTCATAGATTTGACGGAGTTGTGATACTTCTTTTAAATTTCACACTGGCTTTATTTTTCGAAGATCATCCATATAAGCTGCACTGAAACTTTGCGTATTACCAAACCTTTCCTTTAAAAGATGGCACAAGAGACGCTAGCTAAAAAGCTAAAATTTTATTTCTAAAATTACTAAAATTTGTTTTCGTGTTACTCATCATTCAATTAAGTCTCATCCTTTTTCTGTGACTGTTCTTAAGTGCTTTAAAAATTCTTTTTTGTCTAGTTTTTGACCTTGAACTATAGTTCTTTAGAATTTGCTTCCTTCTTCTTCTAATTTATATAATTTGCAATCTTTTAAGTTGTCTATCAATCGTTATCTTGCTCTATAATCTTCATCTTTTCTTTTCCAGTAACTTTGAACTCTAATAGTGGTTGCTTGTAGCCTTGTTGGAAGTGAAGATGTTTAAAAAAAAAATTAAAAATTTGAAGTTAAACCTTTCATGGGAAATAAGTTAAGAACTATTATTAACATGTGTAATTTGTTTGATATTGAATTATAATCAGCTTTGTTGTAACTAAACAATTGAGATTCGTTTTCGGGTAGCGAAACTAATATTCTCCAGGTAATACTAAAGTGACCTTTAGTGTTATTACCTAGTATAGCATTAGGAGACAAATTTAAAATATAATTATTGTTGTAGGTAAATAATAAGTCCAACATATTTTTTGGAGAACCATTGGATGTCTGGAAAGTAGGGAACGTGATGTGTTGTGTAAAGAGATCATAACAAAAAAAAAAAAGATTTAATGATTCAAAATAATGATTTAAGCGTGAAGTAACAATAAAGTTAAAGGCATTAAAATATCAGTATGGCACATCATTATTATTATGATTTACTTTCATTTGTATAATTATACAAAAATTATTATAGAAAATGTATGTATATGCCCAAGTATGTATAATTATTTATAAATTTAGGGAGCATTATACAATCCGCAAATATACAATGGTAATGATGCTTATGAATACTATAATCCATGCACTTCAGATAGTTCACCATCATGTAAGTTATTATAATTTTAAACTATAAAAAGTTAATGTAAGTTAATGAATTCTAAACAGTTAATGTAAACCTTTTTTCTTTTAAAATCTACTTTTTTAATAATTTAGTTGTTCCATCAGAGCCACGACCACAAGACTATAACCCTGCTAAGTTTAATCGTTTTGCCAAAATGGTTGCTAGTGTAAGTGGATAATTTTTTTTAATCCCTAACTTATGCATTGTTTTTTATTATTTCTTTTATAAAAATAAAGAGTTTAAAGCTTTTTTTTATGGGCACAGACTTTAATTTAGTAAATAATAAACTTTAGCGGATAAAATATGGAATATATTAAAATAGTTAATCTAATTAAATCTACATTGAAATTTTTTTTAATTTACCAATACAGAATTTTTGATAGAATCATAAAGTTTATTTTGGTTTATTTTGGTTGGTTGTGTTGTTGTAGAAGGAGTTTGTAAATCTTGCATTTTTTCTAGTTGTATTAACACAATAAAAAATGCTCAGTTCTAAATAGTTATAAATACTCTAAACAGGTTAATAGCAGGAACAGCATGTGGTTGTAAAAAGTTTTTTTTAGCTCTCTTATAATTTTTAAATAAGAAAATGGCATAATGAAAACTTTGCAGAATCTCACAAGCAGAACCATGAATGACAAGCTTAAAAGAAAATGTGTTTAAATGAAATACTTGAAAAATTTGATCAAAGAGAATTTTAATTGTTATTCAACAAATTGTTTGTTTGTTTTTTTAATTTCTCACAGTATTCACAAAAATATTCATTATAATAATGTTTCGGAAATGAAAGTTACAAAAACACAAAATAAAATTTACTGAAAAGATAGTGCAGTAAAAAATATATAGAACAAAATGAAAATGAAAATGAAACAAAAAATATATACAATATATAGAAAGAAAAGATGATGCTGTGAAAAAGATACAAAATATAGATGAAATTGCATGAAAGATGATAAATAGTTGTAATATAATAACAATCGTTGTGTTTTATATCATAGGGAATCGAAAGAATTGACAATTCTTTGATTGAATTTTTTTAATTTGACGTCTGGTGAAATCAGACGAAAGTGCTTTGGTTTTTTCATTAATGCATTTGTCTATCTACCAGAAGAAATATTTTACTGCGGCTTTGATACTAAATATTGATATGAAATATTGCCTTTTTTTTTCTCTCGCTGTTTTATTTATTTTATAACCATTCTCAAAGTTTTAAATTTATTTCAAATCAAGTTTTCAACGTTGAATAATTTAAAAAAGTATTCATATTAAGAATTAAATTTAAATTTTACAACTTTAGTAAATGTATAGAATTTGTTATTTTTAGTTTGTAAAAAAGGTCAGAAAACGTGTTTTTGTAAGAAAAATAAAACCCTAGCGCAAACTGAAGACAAAAAAATATATAAAAAAATTTGGCACAATTACTTTTTATAGCATTATGCAACTTTTCCGCTCTATTCAATTTCAAATTCAAAAAAAGTTGTTTTTCGATACACTCTATTACAAATGATATGTGTCTTTTAATGTAAAATTTTTTATTTTTGTGTATATGTTTGTATCTATTTCTAAATCTTTAAATATCTAACTTTGAAATATAGTTATTGCAAAATATCATTGTATTTGTAAAAAAAAATTGCTTTCTTACTATATACTTATCATATTTTTTTATTTTACTACTTTTATATTTTTAACTCTTTTTGATTTTATTATATTTAGGAGGTCTATCAAAATATTGAGGTGATATTGCATCATCCATATCTTCTTTGAGTCTGTTTTTAAAATATTTTATTTACTGATATTTACCAAATCTCATCTGTAATTTATTTTAAAAGCAAAATATAAAATTAAAAAAAGTCATTTTTAAATTTGTTAAAGAACTTGACTCAAAGCATAGATAGTACTCAGTACACTATTTAATTGTCCAAGTAACTGCCTTATTACTATTAATAAACCCTAAGCTGTAAAAAAGGTGGTTTGACAATGCACACTAAAAGTAGGAACAGGGACACCATCCATGCGTAACATGGCTTTGTTAATACTCTGAAATTTAACCGATGTTGATGGAATCAGCCACTCTGAGAGCTATTACTGAGTTTGGGAAACCTGACTACCAGTCGGCCTAAAAACCAAAAAACTGAGTTGTATTAAGAGATAATAGAATGAGATGCTTGTCATAAAAACAGAAATATAAGCAAAACCCATGCATTGAGTCAAGAAGATCCAGCATTTAACATCCTAAACTGGAAACAATGTATTATAAATATATCTACGTCAGCCTGATAGATGAAGAAGGAATGCGAGGTATACCAGTAGCAGGATAATCTGAGCTGACTTTAATGCTTTCACTTCAGCTATAACTACAACTTTCAATTAAGTCATTTTACACCTTTCATATTTTTTTGTTATATTGCATATAAAATAATTATTTGTTTTTAATATTGTATTGAATATTTTTTGTCTATAACACTTTTATACTTTTTCATACTTTAAATTGCTTGTGTATAAACAAAACCAATTGATTTTAAAACTCAGGAAAAATATGTGTGCATGTGTATGTGTTAGAAAGTAAGAATTCTATACAAGTGATGAGAATTACAAACTAATAAACTAACTAAAAGTGAAAGATTTTATAAATTATTAAAAGATATCGTTTTATTTAGTAATAGATAAAAAAATCAACATAAAGAGTAAAACTATTACTGCAATACAATGAATATGCTGATAAACCGAGTAAACAGGAATTTTTTTGTATAGAAACATTACTTGCGAGTATGATTTCTATACAGATGATGACGATGCCCAAGTTTAATCAACGCCGTAATAATTACAATCTAACGATAAAGTTTGTTTATTTTATTTAGAAAGAATTAAAATTAAATTAAAAAAAAATGTTTATTCACTAGATACAAAATTTTTTTATTCGAATATTATTCTGGAAACATTTCATGTAAAAAGTGTTGGTGTAGAAACACAACATTTTTGTAAAGAATCTATACCAGTGACAATAAAGAGGGAAAAAATCACTCAGTCCTATGTTACTTGGCATGTGTGAAATAATTTTTTTTTAATTTTAATCGAAGCAACATTTAATTTTATATGAAGAATGTTTAATCAATTGGAGTTGTCAATAAAGCAGATAATTTGTTGTTATTTGTTTCTTTTTTGAAAATTTTTATAGAAATTTGACATTTTTACAGTGTTTAGAAATTGCTATAACAAAACCCTCATGAGATGAAATGACAAAAAATTTGATTTAAATATATCAACTTAAAACGGAGTAATTTTTGCAACAAAACATTTTCTAGTCAAACTAGTTACAAATACACAGTAGAAAAAGTACCCAGTAGAACAACAACAGTAAGAAAAAGTAATACACAGTAGAACAAGTTTCAAAAACAGCAGATTTTTGTGTTAATGGAACGAGTAAAATACTTTCCTAGTTTTTTAAGATTAGTGCTAGCCACATACTTAAATAAAAATTAAACTGATTCATAGCAAATTTAAACTTGATAACAACAAATATAGAAACATGACACAAACATTACATGCCCTATCTTTAAAAAACTCTTTTATTTTTAATTTATTTTGATGCTAAGAATGTAATTTAAAAAATTTCTGAACTTTTAATCCAAAAACTATAACATTATCGTCAACCGTTGTGAAATAGGAATCTTCCATAAAAATGTAGAGTTTCTATACAGAAATTCATCTAATGATGATGATGATGATGATGATGATGATGATGATGATGATGATGATGATGATGATGATGATGATGATGATGATGATGATGATGATGATGATGATGATGATGATGAATAAAATAGTTGTGATGATTTATAACTAAATACAGGTTAAAATGAATACCATGTAAATGTTGTTTTTATTTTTAGGCTGATGCACCTGTAGTGATCATATGCAAAGATGGTGAAACAAATAGACTTAGTGGTGAAACATGGAAAAAACCAGATGACAGTTGCTACCAATTGAAATGCAGTGTATTTTTTTAAGTTTGAATTAAAATAAATTGAAAATATTATTTTAGTTTAAAATTATTATTATATTGTTTTTTTAAAAAAAGAAATCTTTTAAAAATTTTGTATTTAAGTTTGAAGGTAAATTTAAAGAGGCCATTTAGTCCCTAGGTTAATCCACTTTTTGAACAATGCTGTGCTCTAGGTTATGTTTCACAGTTGATTGGTAACAATAATTACTATTTTTTAAAATTCTTTTTTTTTTTTTTTTTATCTTGTTTTTAATTTTTATTCTGTGATTTAATTTTTTTTTCCTATGTCTTTTATTATTGGCCATCTTTTTTATAAAATCTCAAGTAAAATACTTTTGTTTTCTGCTCCACAATTTTGTGTATCAGTTACTATTGGTTACTTTTGTGTATCAGTTACTATTAGTTACTATTGGTTACTTGATTTACTATTGGTTACTTGACTTATTTTTAAAGTAATTTAACGACTAAAAATTTGTTAAATAATGGATATATATTAATACACCAATATGTACTGGACCCAACTCGAGAAAATAATATTCTTGATCTTGTTCTTTCAACTATCAATTCTCTACTAAGTAATATTTCTTTTGAGTGTCCATTTAGTACAAGTGGTCATAACTCATTTCTTTTTCATATAAACACCTTTGATTATTATCAGCCCAAAACAAACTCTGTATTTCTTTACAATATCAAAAATACTCATGCAATTGGTTTTATATCAAAAATAAGTTGGGACTACGATTTTTCTTTTGTTTTTACAACTGAAGAGTATTGGAACATCTTTTCTGATCATATTTGTTAGGGTATTGATTGTTTTGTTCGAATCAGAACAATATACCATAAAAAAAAAGTTGTTTTTATCCAAAGTATATTTATAAAATGCTTAATCGCAAATCATTTTTATGGAAAAGAAGGTCGATCATTAAGATCATTTTGCAGGAAAAGGCATTTATCTAATATGCATCAAAATGTAAAAATGCCATATCCACACACAACAAAAATATGAAACTAAAACTGGTTAAAGAAATTATCTCTAGTAAGTTTTTGATACGTAAATAAAAGTCTAAAAAATATATCCTCTAAAAGTCTAAAAAATATATATCCCCTAAAAACCAATTTCAACTTTACTACTAGCAATGAGGAAATTGCTGAAGTGTTTAACAAATACTTTAGAAGTGTTTTTATCGTTGACGGAAATTTACCTAAAACAAATACTTTTGTTTGTGAAGATAGTTTATCAAAAACTACAAAAACTAAGACTTAGCACATCATTTTGACCTGTTGGTATACCAAATGTTCTTTTAAAACAGTTAGCACATATAATATGTATTCTGCTTTCGTATATATTTAAATCAAATTTTATGTCAAGCTCGTTACCAAAATAATGGCTTCAAGCTTCAGTTTCCCCTTTTTTTTAAAAAGGATCTACTTCCAATGTTAACAATTATAGAACAATTAAGTATTGTTAGTTTAGCAAGTATTGCTGATTATCCTCATATAAATAATCTAATAACACATAATCAACACTGCTTTTTATCCAAAAGATCTACGTTCAGAAATCTTCTCAACTAATGACTGGAATAAAAGCTTTATATAGCAATTTAATTACTGATATGATATACATTGATTTTCAAAAAACTTCTTCATTGGATGTCAGTATTTTTTTCAAAGGGTTCTGGTTGGAAATTCACTATCCAATCCGACCAGCATCTTTAGTGGAGTTCCACAGTGCAGCATTTTGGGTCCAACATTCTTGTTATATATTAATGATCTACCCTCTATAGTAAAAGATCTTAATTGCTCTCTAATGTTATATGATGACAATATCAAGCTATATAGTTCATTCATAGATGCTGTTCACAGTCACAGTCTTGCTGTTGCCATTTATAAAGTTTATTTCTGGTTAAAAAAATGGCAGTTAAAAGTAGCCAATAATAAGTGTTTTACTCATAGAATAGTAAAAGCTTACACTACCTACATAAGACCAATCTTAGAATAAAACCGCACTGAAATCAACAAAGCAATGGAAAGAGTGCAAAGACGTTTTACCATGAGAATCGCTAACCTAAATAATTTTCATATTTTAATAAATTTTTAATTCTTGGTTTAAAACTACTAGAGATTCGTTGCCTTGACATGGACACGGACATGTTACAAAATTCTGCATAATTTAGTTTGCCTAAATAAAGTTTCTTTTTGATAAACAACTATATTTACACTCGAGGTAATAAATTCAAATTATGCAAACTAATGTATAAACTTGATGTCCGTAAATACTCTTTCTCACTCAAGGTTGTTAATATTTGGAATAACTTTGTCATCTGACGTCATTAATTCCAAAAATATTCAAAATTAAAATTAGCTGTATCAACTTTGAAAAATACTGTTCTGGTTTTTGTTTTGTAACTGTGGTCTTATATAATTGTAATATATATATATATATATATATATATATATATATATATATATATATATATATATATATATATATATATATATATATATATTTGTAAATTATCTAGCATATGTGTTATGATATTGTAGAGCATGTTGTCTGAGTCCTTCATATTTTATGGACCTGCGTGTCCTTTTAGAACATGTATCACTGTTCTAATAAATTTTAATCTATTAAAAAACTACGAAACTTTAAAAAATAAATCAAATAATTAAAACTTTTAAATATTTGCAAATGATTTAAGTACTTAAAGTTTATAAATAGTTTTTAATTTTTTCATAACCAGTTTCAGAAAAATAAATATTTTCTGACAGATAACATTGCATTATTGAAGTTGGTGGATTTTATTACAGTTAACAATTGTAATAAAGTTTTGATTAAAACTGATTTTATTGTTAGTTAATTTTCATTTGATGGTTTTTTAATAACAAGTAAACTTTATGACTTTAATTTAAAGTCGTCTGAGTTTAATTAAGTTTTTATTTAACTTTGCTTTTGTTTAAATAAAAAAAATAAAAATTCATAAAAAAAACAACAACAAGTTTATAACAAAAGATTTTTAATCTAATTTGTTTAGGTGAAGTTAAAATCTTTTTAGTTTCAAGATCAATATGAGTTTAACAACTTCAATAATTTCCGAATTTTCTATTGCAACTTATGCAATATTAAAGTGTTGAGAAAAAATAACAAGAACAAGAACAATTTTTATAATTTGCTTCAAAATACATAAAAGACAGATGCTCCAAACTATGGTCATTCTTTATATGCAAACATAATCCTGTTTTTTATGTTGTTACACTAGATTCACTCAAACTTTGAAAACGTAAAATACTATAGAAGAATGTTGGAAGTATCTTTAAAAAAGTTTAAAAAACGTAAAATACTATAGAAGAATGTTGGAAGTATCTAAAAAGTTAAAAAAAGCATTTTTTAGAAGACTGGAACAAAAAGTCAAAGAATTTTTTTTTCTTAAGAGTCAATGCAGCTATGTTTCTCTAAGTTAAAGCACCTTTTAATTAAATTGGTTGTATCAACAAATCTGCTAGTTATCATAAAAATTCAACTTGTTATATAAAAAACCTATCTTTTAAATTCAGTAGAAATTCTCATCACATCCTTATGCATTGCACCTAAATTTTTATATAAACAGTAAAACAATAAAATGTTTAAATATTTTTAAAAAGTAACAATTTTTTGTTGAATAAAAATAATTTCAATAATTTTTATTGAATTATTGAAAATTTTATCATTTAAAATATTGAAAATCTTAAATGAATTTGTAAGACTGGAAAAAGATTGGAACATATGTGAAAAAATTTTGGTATCATAAATTCTATTTACTCTATGTGTTTCATAAATTTTATTTATTCTACATGTGTCATAAATTTTATTTACTCCACATGTCATGTGTCACTTGTCACATGTCATAAATAATTCATATACAATAATAATTCAAATTCATAAATTCATTCGTAATAAATTCTGTTAAACCCTTGCATGTCATAAATTATAATTACATAGTATATGCATATATACATAGTATATGTATATATACATAGTATATTTATATATATATATATATATATATATATATATATATATATATATATATATATATATATATATATACATATATATATATATATATATATATATATATATATATATATATATATATATATATATATATATATATATATATATATATATGTATATACATATGTATATGTGTGTATACATATGTATACATATGTTTATATATACATATGTATATATATATATATATATATATATATATATATGCATATATATATGTATATATATATATATATGTATATGTGTATGTATGTATATATACACATATATATATATATGTATATATATATATATGTATATGTGTGTATACATATGTATATGTGTATACATATGTATACACACATATACATATATATATATATATATGTGTATATATACATATATACATATATATATGTGTGTATATACATATGTATATGTATACATATATATATATATATATATATATATATATATATATATATATATATATATATATATATATATATATATATATATATATATATATATATATATTCATTCATGAATTAAAGATAAAATATTTATAGGTTCTATCAGTATTTATGCATACCTGGCACAGTGGTTTAAATGATGGACATGGCTAAAAAATTTAATGTTTTGAAATTAAAATTTAACATAATTTTTGTATATCTAGATGGCATGCAGATTTAAGTTAAAAGAAAAAATTTAAAGTTTTTGTCTATTTAAAAAGTTACAGCAATGCAAAGTTGAACAATTTGGAAGAAAAAAATGTCTTTAAAACTCATCAAAGTTTTTGAGTATACTCGGAAAAAGTGCTGAAAAAAAAAGATTATTGATCTAAAACTCGGAAAATTATCATTTAACAATAAAGAATAAAGAGCCTACATAAAAATACATTTTTTTGGTTAATAATAATAGTACTTCAGAATGAAAATTGGATAATTTTCATAACAGTGAATTTTTCACATGAAAAACTGTGAATTTTTCACATGATTTTGCTATAGTTTTTGAACATTTCAGTGATTATCTCAAAAACCGCTAAAGTTGCTATACTAAACCTTATATAGTTTCTTTACTACAAAATAAAAGCTTTCATTTGCTGCAATGTTTAAGTTGGTCCTATTAGCGGTTTTTAAAAAAAACTTGTTTTAAAATTGCCATCTTGAGGTTAAAGTCTAAGAACTTGGTTTTGAAACATTAACAAATACACATGTCAATCTCCACCACGTCCGTAACATTGTACTGATTTTCATTATGCTTAACAATAACTCCAACTTTCTTCATACAGTGTATGTCTTTGTTAAATAAAGATAGAGATCGGATATTTTAATTCAACTCTTTCCCCATTTGAATCAACTATATAAAGTTTGCAACTAGAACAAGTAAGTCTAGTCACTATTGGAACATGTTTAGCCGTAAATGTCTAAGAAAAAAGAAGGGGTTGATTAAATAAGAAAAAGTGTTAGTGTAAATAGTTATCATATTTTGAGCAGGTCTACAATGTTAAATCAGGTAATTAAGAGAAGAAAGCAGGAAGAGTATATCCATCTTCTTATTTCTTTTCTTTTTTTTTTTTTTTTTTTTTTTTTTCGAAGCTAGCCAAAATCATTACCAAATTAAACACATTTTTTGATTATTACAGTTCGCAGCTAGAGCAAAAATCAAGGCCATATGATGTGGTTTCTGAAATATAAATATAAAAGTTAATAGTTTGACATAAAATTTTATTTTATGTAATAACTTTTAGATTAGACTTTTACAATTGTATCTTTTATGAAATCATACAATAACTAATAAATTATAGGACATATACTATAATTTATATTTTCGACAACAACTAATTAATACTCGAAAACTATAGTTTAATTTAAAGTTTTCGAGTATTAAATAGTTATTGTACGATTTTTAAAAAGTATTTTATTAGATAAACTATGACAATTTTGTGTTTTTCAGTGTTATTTTTTTGAATCTTTGATATATTTTATGATCTTGTGAATTTTTTAACGGATAAGACTTATCTAACTGACGTAAAAATATGTATTATGACTTCATATAAAAAACCTGAAATATTTTTTAGTTGCATACTTAAAGTGTTTTTTCGGTGTCGTAGAGTTATTGTGCGATCATGGTGATGAACATAGGAGTATTTTTAATGGATAAAGCTTGAAATGTTACCCTAAAAACATGAAATTGGATCATGTATACCTATCTGAAAAAAAGTTGTTATTTTTTTAGGGTGTTTTTCGCTGTGTTATTTTGATGTCCTAGAGTTATGGTACGCCCTCAAGAGTATTTTTTAATGATTGAACTTCAAAAATTAAGCTTAAAACATATATAATGACCATGCTTTATTTTCCCATGCCGCATAAAGAGATTTTTCTTAAGTATAGTTAGATGTCCACAAATATCCACAAAGTGCAAAATAAACCACTGTGCCTGGACCCAGTTTTGTTTTATTAAACCTGGCCTTAAGTCTGCTTATTTATACTGTAGTTATATTTATGTAATATTTTTATTATATTTGCAAAAGAAAGTTTTTATAAAGTAATTTTATTTTAATTTCCTAATGTTATTTAAAAAATAATAATATTAATTTGTAATATTTGCTTTTTAATAGAATGGAGTTATAATATCCACTTACGTCTGTCCAATTTGCAAGCTTCAGACAAAAAGTTACTTAAGTGGAGAAAAATTTATTTCTCCTGATGATAAATGTATATTGCAAACTTGCCAGGATGTAATGTTTTTATTTATTTTTTTTTTTTTTATTTTTAGTCACAGATATTTGTATAACTTAAAAATTTATTTGCTATTTATATTTAATTTATTTTACCGAAATTATTATGACCTTTTTTTATATAGTTATAACATTATTTGAAAGTCTCAAGTTATTTTATTAGTTATTTTTAAAAAAATAATAACTATAACTAATAATAATAATAGTAATAATAACTAATAAAATAACACACACACACACACGCACACACACACACACACAAAGCTTTACTAGGTTTTGTTTAGTTGTTTTAATTTGTGCTATTTTGTTTATATTTGTTTTTTGTTATTTTTATTTTTTTTACTTGTTATAGATTCTATGATTTATTTTTTATATAGTAACTCAAATAAATAGTTAATTTTTAATGATGTCTTAAAAACATAGCGAAAAATTGAAAATATCATTAATTTTTTTTTAATGTCTTAATTTGTTGTTTGTTTTTTAATGTTAAATAATAGTTTTTTAAATACATTGTTCTTGAGTTTTGACATGGTAAAAATATAATAAATGAATTAAATATAAAAAAAAACCATCTGTTTTTATATTTAAATATATAAACTTTTTATTTTCTGTCCATTTATTTGTTCATGTTATTGTATTTACGTTTATTAAAAACCTTATCTTATGAAGATTGTTTTAAAGTGTATTTATTTCATGTGACATTTAGAAATATTTTTGATTTAGACTTTAGAAATGTGAGTAGTGATAACTTTCAATTTTAAGTAACTTTTCTTAAAGAAATTTTAAATATGTGGGAAACTTGTATAGTTTTTATACATGTACTTGACAGTGTTAACAGTTTAGAGTTTTACAGTTCTAATGTATGTACTTGACAGTGTTAACAGTTTAGAGTTTTACAATTCTAATGTATGTACTTGACAGTGTTAACAGTTTAGAATTGTTTTAGATTAAAAAGAAATATAAAATCAATTTTAAATTTATCAAATTATTCTGTAAAGAACTATGATTAAAAAATCCCATTCAATTACTTGATCAATTTAATTACATATTTAAAATATTTAATGATTTTTTAAAAGTTAGTTTATTAAAATTGCAAATATTTTTAAAATTATTTTAGGGTGATATGGTGGCTGAAAAAATTACTTGTAATCCACTTAGCTGTGATAAATTTGGTAGTTTTACAGACCCAAAAGAATGTTGTTCAAAGTGTTACAGTGAGTATTAATTGTTTGTTTTAGTTTGAATTTTCTTTTACCAAAATGGACTAGTTGAAACTTTTCCTACTTATCATTTTTTTATATATATAATAAATCATATGCAATAGTTATTAAAAAAAGTCTGAGCTAAGTATGTAAATAAAGGTATAATTTTTTCTTCCAAAGTTTTTGTAAAATCAGCCATTATGATGGTCAAATATAATTTATAGCAACTAGTAATTGAGCAGGGCTGGTATTTGACTGTGGCCAAGGCGAGTTCTATGGACAGGACTGCATAAATATTGGTGCATATTGACTTGTTTTTATTTATCATATCAATATGCACCAATATTTATACAGCCTTAGCCATAAAACCGGCTTTGGCTCAGGTCAAATACCAGCCACAATCATTTACTAATAGTAACTTACCAGGTAAATTAAAATTTTTCCAACATGGCGGCAGGTTTCAAACTATCTACTTCTACAGCTTGCTTAATAAATAAAGGTACCAGCAACACCCTTAATATGTGAAAAAAATATATAGAGTAAATTTAGCCACTTTAATTCTGATCTTAAAGTTTGTCCTTCAATAGTCTGTTCAAAATAGAATAGAAACTAGTTTAACAAAACCCTAACAAAAGGGAAACAGCATATTTTTTCAACTGGTTAGAGAGAATCTCAAAGGTGATTTGTTATCTTTTTTTTTTGCATTTTGCTAATGTACATTAGAGTGGGATGAAAATTACTTTTTTTTGAAAATCCTGTTCACCTTTAAGTTTGTTCTATATAATAAAATAACACTGGATTTAAAAGATTTTTGAATAAAAAATATTTTTTGTAGTTCCAACTGACCTTAAACATTTAACAAGTCCTAATATTATCTAAAAATAAGGTTTTTCAAAAGTAAAAAAATAAAGTTCTTCAAAAGTCCTGGTAATCAAAAGAAGCAAAATTTTATATAAGTTTTATAAATAGTTATATTTTATAAATAGTTATATTTTATTAAAACTTAATAAAAAAAGTATTAAAAAAAATATATAAAAATCTTTTTTAAAAAAATGTTCAAAAATAATAGTTGTTATGCAATGAAATTTATGCAATGTTTTTATAAAATGATTACTATTTTTAAATTTTTTATAAAATTTCGCTTCTTTTTGAGTACCAGATTGACAAATCTTTGAAATTTTTTTGGATAATTTTAGGGACCTTTTCAGGTATTTGAAGGGTCAGTTGGGACCTCTGTAAGTTTTTTTATTCATAAATTTTAAAATCCAGTGTTGTTATATTATATACAATAACAACTATTAAATAACTATTAAATGTGTTGAAAAAGTTTTTAAAATTAAGTATTAGTTTTTACAATAACTAATTGACTGAATTGCAGAAAACTCTACTTCATATGAATGCAAAATAATTTGTTGGTGGTAATGAGATGCTAGAGATATAGTGTATTTCAAGAATACAACAGAACTTTTTTTGATGTAGTATTTATAATCTTAATATTAAGAGGCTTTTATTATTTCTTAGTATTAAGTCTTTTAGATTTTCTTAATATTTTATAATATTATTTAGATATATATTAGGAATATCTAGATATTCTTATCTTATATCATTCAAATATACTCTTATCATTGGTGGTTAAAACTGCTTGAAAGTTATTATTAATGCTTTTGGATCCAAAAATTTTTATTCTTTATCTGAAATATATAAAGATTATGACGTGAAACAATGTCATATTATTCATCTGAAATATATAAAGATTCTGATGTAAAACGATATTATATTCTTCATCTAAAATATATAAAGATTCTGATGTAAAACAATGTTATATTCTTACTATTATGGAAATGGTCTTAGTGGATAATGGCAGGTTAATCTCTAAATATTCTCCGAACATCTTTACTTCCAATAAGATATATATATATATAAAGAGAGAGAGATAAAGAATCCAGAGTAAGAAAGTATGTATATATAGAGAGAAAGATAAAGAATCCAGAGTAAGAAAGTAATGAGCACAATAAACGATGCTAATTTTGCAATGGTTTTGATATATGGTTTCCAAGAAAGATCAAAAGTAAGAGTTAATCTTAGAAGATGACTCATCAAGTACATTACCATTTATAACTATAGGAAGATCTAGATTGTTACGATAATAATTATTTGAAAAAAATTGAGCTTTATCTGAGTTAAAGTTCACCAGCCACTGAGCACCCCATGCTGTTGCAGAAGTGAGGTTCTTTTCAAGCTTAAATGCTCCCTCTAAGCAATCAGAGTGTGTTGGCTTCTTATCTAGATATCAGTTTTAATCTGGAATTTCAAGTGTGCAAACAGTGTTTTTAAACTTTTTTTTTTAATATGCCTGTATTATAAAGAATAATGCTCTATCAAAGCACGGTGACTACAGACATTGGACTCCACACACTCCACACATGTTATGATCAATATGTAAGGGGAAAAAAAATACAAGCATACAAAAACTTAATAAATTTTTGTTTAATTCACATTACAGTAGAGGAGTTTTTCAAAACAATTTGAAAAACATTACATAATAATGAGAGGGTACCACGATGTTTGTCTAGATGGACATACATTGTGGATGTATTGAAGAGGGATGTCATCTTAACTGCATCAATTCATATTTTACCAATAATTGTTTGCTTGTAAAAATTTTACAAGCAAACAACTATCGATGAAATCAGCAGTGTTTGATTCTGAATTGATAAATTGATGATAAAGTTGAAGACTTCAAAAGTTTATTTTTTAATCTTCAATTATATACAAAAGATTTTTTTTAGTGTTTCACATTCTACCATTTGTTGAAGGAATTAATTTTAACTTAGGAAACTATGCAGAACAATGTGGTAAAGCAATATGTAGTATTGGTGCAGTGGTAGCTTGCTTCATAACAGAAATATTTAGAGTTCGATTCCTACCACATCCCTGGAAATATCTTGCTCAACTTTTTTGTCTGCACAGTGACCTTGCTTATGTAAAAAAACTCTCTATTCTTTTTATAATTTTTTTTTATCTAAAGCGTTTCCATAATTTGATTATGTTGAAAAGTTTTCTTTTTAATAAAAGATTGTAGAAAGTTGCTTAAGAAGATTATTTTAACATAGGAGACATGTGAAAGTAGTGTGCCTGAAGGTTCAGTTAACTGAGCATTCTTGTTGTCAATATAAATGAAACACCTTGTATATTAACTCAGTTAAGTATACCATGTATTTCATTTACATTGACAACAAGAAAACTCACGGACTTGGTAATTGTTAAGTTAGTCATTGGTAACTAAACTATTTTCAGCTCTTTAAACAGATATAGAAAGTAAAAAAAAAAACACAAAAATAAGGTCAAAATTTAGTACTTTAAAAACTATATTTCAGAATGGTCATCAAAATATAACTATTATAATGCGTTTTAAAAAATATTTAAGAATGCAAACATAAATGAAAATATATAAATTCAATAGACTTAATGAAAAACTTATGATTGTCCTATTTAAAAAAAAGAAGTTAATGCAGTGCTTAGAGTTCTTAAAATGAAGTTTGTATTTTTTACCATTTGTTGAATTTATATAAGCTGTATGGTTACAAAAAAAATAAAAAAGGTAAAATATAGATCTAATTCTAGAAAAAAAAAATTTATTCAAACTCTGAGTAACACAAGAAAGATGAGAGAAAATAATAAATAAAACTTAGTATTAATTAACATTCTTTTCATTTTTTTATTTATTTTTTTGCTCGATTCTTTAACTCTTGGCAAACAAGGCTGCTGCGCGGAGAACCAGGTTAAGCGCCATTTTAAAAATGTTTAACATAACCAACAAATAATTGTTTTTTCCGACAACATAACCAACAAATAATTGTTTTTTCTGACAACATAACCAACAAATAATTGTTTTTTCCGACAACATAACCAACAAATAATTGAAATATTTATCAGAATAAAACCTTTAAATTTTTAAATATAAGAATTTCATAGAAATGAATGTTAAATAAAAAAAAATTTAATAAAGTTTTTTTTCAAAAAGGTTTGTAAATTTTGAAAATTAAAATTTTTATAGTTTTTGGTTACACGATTGATATACAATGATCATATTTTTTTCATATTAATGTTTACTTACACTGTTATTGCTATATTTTTCAATTTAATTTTTTTTCTTCTCAAATTTTTAGGTGACTCTTGTAGTAACGGTACAAGTTATTATGAAGGTTGCGAACGAAAATGTGGTATTGCAAGTAACTTTCAGTGTACAGTGAAGTCTCCTGGCTGCTGGTGTCCTGAAGGAAAAGCTCTTAATGACTTTAATGAATGTGTTCCATTAAGTGATTGTAACTGTAGATCTGGATCAAAAATATATTTAGTAAGTTTTATTTTTTTTTTTTTATTTTTTAATTATGTTTTCAAAAATTTTCAAAACTATATATAACCGAGGCAAATCCAAGATGTTTGATCGAAGCAAATGAAAAGTTCAGTTTTTTATGGATTTTATTGTGAAAAATTATCATAGTTTTCTAGTAAAAATTTTACCTTGTCGCTAAATATCTTTATGTATATTATGATGATAACTTTTAGCCTGGTCAAGCTGTGGTCCGCAGTTCTTGTCAAACTTGTATATGTGCAAATGGCGTTATGAGATGTTCTTCAAGGTGTGTTTCGTAAATTGAAAGTTTTTTTCATTAACGCACAAAACAAAAAGTAAAAATATTTGATCATTTATTCATAACTTTAAAGTTTGTTTGAAATTTTTATAGTTGAATAAATTTTTATTATTTACGATTGTATGCAGATCCTTTTTAAAATTACGCTTGTTTCATTCATGATAATTCTTCTGTAAAAAAGTGAAACGAGATTTTTGTTTGTAAAAAAGTGAGCCAAGACTTTAGTTTGGTTTTAGAAAAAATCAAAATAAGAAATTAAGTCTCATTTATTTTTTATATTTGAATATTGTATTTTTTTTTTTTTTTTTATAAAAAAGTCCTTTAAAGTTGTTTGTTTTCTATTTATTTTTTATGCAAAAAAAAGGTTGTTTTCAATATTTTCTATGTGTTATATATACGATTTTTTGCGATTTTTTTACAAAAATGTTTTTTGTAGTTTCATATTTTAAACATATAAAGAACACAAACTGAGTAAACTGCTTTTGTTTTGTTTTTTTACACTTTTTTGCTTTATTTAAATCTCACTCATTTTCATTGAATCTATTAAGTCAATGACATCAGTTACCAATCTAAATATAATATGGCTTCGAATGGATTTAATTTTTTACAATCAGGTAGCAAAATAAATTTTGTTAGCAAAATAATCCGCCTAAGATAAGTTGTTTACTTGTTTTAATTTTATAAAACAACTTTTTGCCGTCAGTAAAAATTTAGTTGTCCGCTTAAAAGAATGTATATTTTTGTTAAAAATGGAGTTTGTAATTAATTCCTGCGAAAGCTATCACTAATCCAAAGAAAAAAAATTTTTTTCAAAAAGAAAATAAATTATTTTTTTATTAATGAACCTTAAAAAGTATAATAAATAAAAAAAAAGAATTTTAATAAAATATTTAATTTATTTAAATAATTCATTTGAATAAAATTACAATAACAAAATTTTTTATATCTTTGTTTTCTAAAATATATATCCATAATGTATATTAAAAAAAAATAATTACATTTCAATTAAATTTCTATATCATTTTAATGCGTAAAAAACCAATCGACGATTTCAGAGTTAGCGTAGCCATCTTAAAAAATGTTTATGCATTGTTTCTTTAAAATAGAATATCTGTTTAAATCTGCAATAAACGTAAACTCCGTATTTTTCATGTAGTTGTATGATCTCCAATATTTATAGTGGAACACTTTTAAACTTAATTAGCAATATAGACAATAAAATATAAAATTTCTATATTTTTACTATCTTATACTTCTGCTGTAGTAAATAATATTTCCTTATCATCTTAATCTTCAAGTCATAAAACACAGTCTTGGCCATCATTACCTTCTACATCAGTATTTAGCTGTAGCACCAGCTTAGCATGTTGAATAAGTAAACTGGTTAAATGGTTAAATAAGTACCGCCTGATCCTTGACGAAATTTTACAAAGCATTTTTCAATTAGATCAAAAGAAAACCAACATAAAATTACATATTCATTTTCACTTGATAAAAGATGGCAAGACAAATCAATTAGGCCGCGAAAGGTTTGTCAAAGTACCTTGTGTCTCTTGTAAGCTAGCGAACTCGTTTACCAGATGTTGGTTTCATATTTTCAGCGCTTGCTTCATAAGCAGGAGATCCAGGTCCGAAACTAGCTTTGGACATATTTTCGCGTCACGGTAAGGAAGGAGGCGTGAACTTCCTGGTTAAATAATATTCCGCGATGATACCTGACAAGACCCTTAGGTCTTCTTGGGGCACCTATATAACAAAAAAAAACAGTAACTTCTAAAATTTTATGAGCATACGGAATAAATTTATATATTTAAACTACAGTATAACTTTACGAAAAATATATAAATTAAAGATCAACTTTTATATTATATTTTATACACTTATAATCTGGCTTTAAAATAATTAGGTAAATTTTAAATATTTAGTTCTTTTATTTTGTACAAAAACTTTCGCTATTTTAGAGAACCTATAGATACTTGATCATTAATATGTTCTAATTTGCTATTTTTAAAAACAGAGGCACTAACAGTTGTGGCATCAAAAACTTCCTGGAACTCTAACTGTAAAATTGCTTCCAAAATAAACTGGATATTAAAGAAGGTATAAACTGGATATTAAAGAAGGTATACAAATTGAAAGAGCGCATCGTGCTGGAAGAAAAGAACACGAAGAAGGTAAACGTAGAAAGCGGACTATTGTTGTCAAGTCTCTCAATTTTAAAAATCGTGAAAACATTCTCGAAAAATACAAAAAAAAATTGTGGAAGGAAAACATGTATATAAACGAAGATTTCAGCGAGTAAACAACTAGTATTTGCAAACAACTTTTCCGTCAAGCTAAAGATCTACGAGCATCAGGTAAATTCGCTAAAATTGTGTACAATAAAATAATCACTAAGCCGTCTTAAAACAAATTATATCCACGGTTATTTATAACAGAATAAAAAAAGTAAATAATAAAAAATGAATTCGAAAAATAATAATTATTTTGAAAATGCTTTTAAATTTTTTCAAATTAATGATTTTAAATCGGATGACGATTCCGATCCAGATACTTTAAGGAAATTAATTTACCTGAATTAGTATGCTCTTATTTTCAACCAAATGAAGTTAGTAACTTTATAGGAGTGGATGATAAAATTGATTATTTTAATGTTATTCATGTGAATATTAGAAGTTTAAAAAAGAATTTTGATTGACGAAACCAACAATTGTTTTAACGTAATTTGTGTAACCGAAACTTGGTGTTTTAAAATAGATTTTGAATCAAATTCTAATTTCCTTCTCCCAGGTTTTAAAAAAATTTTGTTAGAACGAAAGAATAGGCGAATAATAATACATAATAATAAAAATAGGCGAGGAGGAGTACTTTTTTATTTGAAGAAAATATTTTCTATAAAGTTAGAGGCGATATGAGTGTTTCTGATACGGATCAAGAGATCTTAACAATTGAACTAATAAACAAAAATTCTAAAAACATTTTAATCAGCTGTTGCTATAGGCCACCAACTGGTAGAACAGAAAATCTTGGTAAATTTTTGAAATACAATCTAATAGAAAAAACTAGTCAAGAAAAAAAAAAGTTATATTTTGGGTGACTTCAACTTTGTTTTGAATATAAAGAAAACCAAAACATAAAAACATTTTATAACAATTTATTTGAAATGGGAACCATACCAATAATAGATAAACCGAACCATTCGTCAACTTTAATTGATAATATATTAACCGCAGACTGTTTTAATAAATCTCTAAAAAAAGGAATTATAAAAACTGATGTTTCAGATCATTTTCCCGTATTTTTTTCTATTAAATCAGATCATCAAATAAAAAACGAGGTTAAAAAATGACAATAAAAAAGGGAATTGTTAACAATTGTAACTTAAAATCATTCAAAGATCAAATTTCACAGCAGGATTGGAATCACACAAACTTTAATGATAATATAAACATTATCTATAACCCATTTTTTAAAACTTTCTTTAAAATCTATGACGCTAATTTTCCAATATGTGAAATAAATCTCAAGGCCAAAGATATTATCTCCTTGGATAACTAAGGGACTAAAAAAGTCTTCAAAACTAAAACAAAAATTGTATAATAAATACTTAAAAACAAAATCTGAAAAACATAAACAAAATTACAAAAACTACAACAAACTGTTTGAAAAACTCCGGAAAAATGCTAAAAAAAAGTTATTATTCTAAATTGCTTACTCAGCACAAACATAACTTAAAACGCGTATGGGAATCAATGAAAGAAGTTACAGAAAAGCTTAAAGTAATTTCAACTTCTCTTCCATTTGCAATAAAAGTTGGAAATAAAATAACTAATGATTCTAATGAAATTGCGACTGAATTTACAATTTTTTTTCCACTGTAGGAGCAAGTTTATCAATTAAAATCCCTTTAATAAATTATAAATTAACAGATGAACTTCAAACGTCAAACTCCTTACATTTTACAAACCTAACGCTTGAGGAATTTGATACAGCTTTTAGATCGTTAAAAAGAAATAAATCAGTAGGACCTGACGGTATAAATGGAAATATTGTAATAGACTCTTATGATGTCATGAAGGATATTTTTTACAAAATCTTTAAATCATCCATTAAACAAGGTTCTTTCCCAGACTCTCTGAAAATAGCAAAAGTAATTCCTATTTTTAAAACAGGAGACCCGACCAATATAACAAATTACAGACCTATTTCTGTTCTTCCAGTTTTTTCAAAAATATTAGAAAGAATAATGTAAAACAGAGTGTACACATACCTAATTACCAATAAGCTCTTTTATGAAAATCAGTTTGGTTTTAAAAAAAACAACTCAACCGAACATGCTATTCTTCAATTAACACGTTATTTTAAAGAATCTTTTAAAATCAAAAATTTACACTTGGTGTTTTCATTGATCTGTCAAAAGCTTTTGACACGGTCGATCATAATATTTTGCTTAAAAAACTTGAATGTTATGGCATAGCAGGTAAAACTCTAAGTTGGTTCAAAAATCTCTCCAACCGAAAGCAATTTGTTTTTAATAAAGATTCCCAACCTCAAATATTAATGAACATAACATATGGTATCCCACAAGGATCGGTACTTGGACCACTTCTTTTCATTATATAAATAAATGATCTTAACAATGCATCCAATTTAAAGATTATAATTTTTGCAGATGACACAAACTTGTTTCAGTCACATGAAAATATAAACCTACTTTTTAATAATATGAACAGAGAACTTAAAAAATTTTTTTAAGTTCTCTGAAAAAATAGGCTATCTTTAAATATTGAAAAAACAAAATGAAGAAAAAGTGACAAAGTTTTTGGGAGTTTTTATTGAAGAAAATCTGTCTTGGAAGTCACGCATCAATAATATTTCTAATAAAGTTACAAAAAACATTGGAATTCTATACAAATCTAGAGGTAATTTAAACAAAAAGAAATTAACACAATTATATTACTCTTTTATTCACTGTCATATCAATTATGCAAATATTATATGGGGAAGTACACATTAAACTAAACTTAAATCTCTTTA